TTCTTTTTGCATTTCTATACCATCATAAATGTGGAAGGGATAGCTCTAAACATTAAAGAGTCCTTTACTATATTTTGCTTATGGGATTAAAATTTCTAGTTACGCCACTGAGTCCCCGAGTCAGAAATTTCAGATATCTGCCATCAGATAAGTCAGATAAAGTCACTAAACGTTTAGTCACCCGTCATGGGTTAAACCCATGATTTTTATGAAAGAGGCCAACATTGAAATCATTTAAATTTAACTTTGAAAACTATGGATTTTGATGCAAGATTGCTTTTGTAATTTTGATATAACATTAAGTCGAATTAATTTCTTTTGAACACATTTTTATATATACTGTACATTACTGTATATATTAGGATATCAAAATTTACATTGAGATAGTGCTGTAGTTCAGTATTTGAATCACAGCACTTAGAATAAACTTTTTTTTTCCAGATACAATTATCGATGTTTTCTATTGATTGAAACTTTCATGTAGATAATTGTACTGAAATATNATTATTCATTCAAATTTACTTACAATACTTAAATTTGTCTCGTAGGATGTGATGCTATTATAAAATTTACATCTAATTGTTAATACTTTGAATATCTAGAGCTAGTGGGAAAATGAGTTTTCTTTTTTGTATCATGTAATTTAGTAATGACTTGTTTAATATTCTGTGTTCTTGAAACTAATTATACACGAACTAATTGATCGTTCGATGTCAATAAAATTATCAATTCCTATTTTAACACGTTTAATATGATGTACAATATTAGAAATCATCAAATTACTTTAAATATTCAACAAAATATATAATTTTATTATGCCAAACTTCGAACTATAAACTGTGTCTAAGAATCAGATGTTAATTGCATTACATTGAACAAAATAAAATAGAAAATGGAATTATTTAAACTAGTATACTGTAATGATGAAATATTCTATAATAAAAATACGAAATAGTAAAAATTAAATATAGAAAACATTCTGATGCCGACATTCGTACAAAATATTGATCACAGCTACAGTTTAGTTGGAACTTATAAAATTTCTTCGATTTTTTTTTCCGTTTATTTCAAGGTCTTCCTCATTATTTTTTAGGATTGTTTTTGAACTTTAGAGAAATAATGATCAGACTTTCTCAAATTCTAATTTTTAAAAATCATCAACGCTATCCAGTAATAAATATCATGTGATATTAAACACAATTTCAGACTTCACTGGCTATTATAAAAACAAAAAAAAAGGATAGTCGACGAAGTTTATTATCATTTTTCAAGTGGTACGAAGAGGATTCTTGTGTGTAGTTGAATTTTTATTCCTAAGGAATTATATTTATATCCATCCCGTTTGTAGAAAATGTAAAAGAATTTCATTATCATTAAATTTTCTATTATCTTACTAATGTGTCAGTGGTGAAAAACTAGTGAATCGGAGTCTCGAATGGTAGTGTTGTTTTTTTTTTCCTCCCATCACTTTTCATATTTACAAAGAAAGATCAATTCTACTTTGTTCATTTGTTCTTTTTTTGAATGAAATTTTTATAAACTTCATTAACAATAAACAGCACCAGAATTAATATAAATATTATATTAACTAATCCGAGAATAGATTTACATATTCATGGACTAAATGCAATAAAGCTGAAGTAATCAGGTGTAATTTTGAAAACGTGTAGATCTGTTATTTCTATCAAGATACACTAAATAATTAATCTCTATGACAACTGTAAGCAAACAAAATGACTTTTTTTTTAGTAGTACATGATCGCAATGACATTAAAAATATAAATAAACTCCAGGTTTATGCAGTTATCTAATAGCCTATTTGCAAAAGGAAACTTTAAAAGAAATGAAATTCTGTTGTATGTTCAAGAAAACTTTTTAAAATAATATTTTCGAATTTCTTACATGCATTTATTTAGGCCTATAATAAGATAAAAAGAAGCATCAATCATCTAAGAAGAATATATGCTTAAAGGTGTTAAAAAAAAAGTCTTGCTAAAAATGATGACTAAGACAGGCTTAGAAATCTCATCTGTAAGAGGACTTTTGTAATTCCTCATTCATATATTATTATTCTTGATTATATGAAAAATATCCTCGATGATTATAATGCAGTTTAAAAGCTGGGCAAGAGCGATTAGAGTAGTAAATCCAATTAGGAAACTAAGAGTCAAGTTAATGCTTTTCTATATAATTGATGTAAATGTTATACAATGTCGAGAAGAAATTTTCTATTTAATAAACTTCTATTTATTTAAAAGAAATATCATAAATAAGCTTTCTTTTATACATTGATTGGTGTTTTAGTATATTTAATGAATTAACAAAGAAGATGATCGATATGTTATCACAGAAGAAGCTAACAGGGCTCTATTTGGATCTTAATATCATATTTACGGGTCTTAAAAAAATATTTCACTTTATAAAGTCGTTATTTACAAAAAATTTTAATATGGTGATACCTCTAACCGGTTAGTGACCCGGGTTTCTGAGAGGATTTGATTTAATTCATAAAAATACTAAATATATTCTATAATGCTTAATAATCTTCAGTTAATTTTACTTATTTTATTTTAAATAAAAAAATAATGTTTATCATTTGTTATTATCATAGATAAAATATATTACAGTAAGCTATATATAGTGATCAACAGTATTAAAATAATATGCAACTTGAGCGAGAAAAACAGAATTTATACGAGAGAAATTTATTTAAATTTTAATTTTAAATTCTACTGTTAAAAACTGCTTAATTTTTATAAGAAAACAAATATTTTTTTGGTCAATCTCTTTACAAATTAAAACGAATCTTCTTTAATTCTATTAAGCGCAGGCTTAAATACATTCATTTCTATTAAATTAAATTAAATTAAATATCATTAAAAATATTATTATTTATTGCATATGTGATAAAGTTAATATATTAGATTAAATCAAGTATTAATTTTTGTATATTGCTCTCTTCTTTCTACTTAATAATGAATTTTATTACATTACCAAGCATAAAATTTATATAAATCTTATTTTAAATCATGAATAACTTTCAAAATTTTCTAATTATATCAATGAAAATAAAATAAATTTTGCAAAATTATTTAAATACTTATCTTCTAAACAATAACAAATAATCACTATAATACTTTTATTCTATTTAATTAAATTGAGGTAAAGATTATAAGTTTAATAAATTAATTAAATATATAAATTAATAATAAAATTTTAAATATAATTATTATATACAATTATATACTTTACATAAGTTTTATAACAATTTTCTTAAAAGTAGAAAGTAATCCAAAAGACAGTTAACTGAGACATACTTTTAAAATGAAGAGCGATTATATAATAGATATTTCAATTTAATTTTAAAATATTAAGAAATTATTTTAAAATTTACTATAAGTTAAATGGATCGAAAATTTACTGAAAAGAGAAACCGAATAGAATATTTATTTATTTATTTATTTATGAAGTNAATTAGGTGACCTCGTAGAGACTACAGACGTTTTTGCTCTCCAATATACAGAAAATAAATCATTTCATCGCAAATTTTCAACTCCATTTATTCTTGAAAACTATTCATAAAACGAAGAAAATATAGTTTTTTTCTTTTTATAAATCATAAACTTTATAAATAAAGACTAAAATATCTTTGAAGTAAGTTTTACTTCAATAACTTAGATTCAGATTTAAAAGGACTAGTTTTGTGGAATAATTTTATAAATTCCAAAAAATGTTCTTTATTTTATAATAATAATAAAGTTTTCTACAGAGTAAATTATATTTTTACACAGAAAGGTTCTCTCAATTTTCGGATCCTATTGGAAAATTTGGCTTTATCGTCAGAAAAATTACAGCTATTATCAGAAAAAAAACTGTGTACAAGCAGGTTTCTCGAAGGAAAATGAAATGATACAGTTGAAAGAGGGAATCGAATCAGAAGGATCCGAAATCTTAGAAAAGTTAAGAATTTTAGGCGCTACGAGATGTTAAAATTCAACTCTTAGTACCACAGAAAAAGGCCAAGATGTCTTGGCATCATCTAGTTTTATATAAACTATGAGTCATCCTGTGTTACAATTTTCTATATTCGGACCTCGGAAAGTAGTCAGGGACGAAGTCTCTAATACTACAATAACTTTATTATTGAAAAATAAATAAAAATAAAATTATTAAAACTATTTTTGAAGTGCATAAAAATATTTTGTAACCATTCTTATCGCTGTCCTCGTGGCATATATAAGATACTACAACTTTACAGATTAACATTAATTTTAGTTTTTCAAAATCTACGAAGCTAAAATTAATGTTAAATTACACTATTTTTAATTAAAATTGACAGGAAATTACTGTTTTTAACGATGAAATATCACAAACGATATACTGTATTTTAGTAATGATGGTACTGTACAAGACGACATTTTTTTCTCAGCAAAGTTTAAAGTTTTCTTCATATATTTTTCTTTTTACATTGCAGTAATTAATTTAGATAATCGGATTAATTATCTTTCTATATAATAAAATTCTTACTGCGTAAACAGCGATAACCATTGCTTAATTTATATAGAGTCTATCAAATAATGCACCCTTTAGACTTCTATGGTATAGGCTATAAATCACAATAATTACTCTGAAGAAATACAATTTTTTCAGTAATATATAGTCTCCATTTAATCATTCTTTTTATATTATAATAATTAATCCGATTAGTAAAATTAATTAGTGGAAACAGAAGAAGAAAATTAAATACAGAATCATATTTTAAAAGAAGATTGCAACCCTGACACAATTAATATGATTAAAAAAAAGGAAAATAGACAAAAAATAACCTACAGAATGCTATAATTAGATTCATCTATCAAGAAATTCTTATAAAATACAATATTAAACACACGATTAATATTAATATTATTTATATATATATTTTTTTTTACGTTCGAGAAGGGTCTCACCTATCAATTATTCTATTTATATTATAATTCGTTGATGATCAATGCATTTACCTGAGTTTTAAATAATGCTAAACAGAGAATTATCATTTAGAATTGTAATATATTTTTCTTAACATTATACAGCGGTGCCTCGTATAATGTACGCCTCGAATAACGGACGCTGCGAATAACGAACTTTCTGTTTGGCCGTTACGTGACTCGAGCAACGGACTGGCTGCGGACAACGGACTTTCCGTTCGGCAGTTACGTGAGGCGACCAATGGACTTTCTACGAACAAGTGCGAATGATGTTTCCACTCTTTTGCCGTTGCCAATGACAATCTGCTATTTTTATAATATATTAGTATTATTAGAATATATTATCAGTATATCTGAAGTACAGAGCTCCCGTTGGGATTAGGCTTGCTCCCTTGTTTATTACGTACATCACCTCAGTGCAGGGTATTTACATTTATTCAAGTGTTGTGCAAATCATGGCTTCTAAAAAAACAGAAAAGTGATTTCAATTGAAACAATGCAAGAAATCATCAGAAGGAGTGAAAGTTGACAAAAACTTCCTTGTCGAATGGGGAGAGGTTCAAGAGTTTACCAACACTCATTATCCAAACAGAGCTGAGGCCAACAGTATCAATGATCTCTACAATGACACCCTTGCCCGTCATTTCCGACAGGTGTTGAAGAAGAGAGAGAAACAGACCATCTTGGACATGTTTTTCAAGAAGCCAGCAGGGAAAAAACAAAGGATGGAACAAGAGGAGTTGACCCCGCAAGCTCCGGTAGCCTCTCCTGAATCTGAATCCGATTAAAAAACAATAAAACAAAGACCCGCTGCAATGTGTAAAAAGTCTGTATCTGTATGAATGTGTGAAGAAAGTGTTCCTCCACCTCCTCATCACAACATCTGACTACCCGACATAATTGGTGTCTGCTCCATTTTCATTTTTTTGTTATGGTACAGTACGGTTATTTTATGCTGCGGAACGAATTATATGTTTTAACATGTATTTCTATGGGAAAATGCGTTTCGTATAACGGACTTTTCACTTAACGGATTAACCTGGAACGGATTAAGTACCTGCACCTGGAACGGATTAAGTACGTTATACGAAGCACCACTGTATTTAAATATATTACTTAGATTCATCTTAATGACATTACAAAATCGTCTCTCTACAAATAAATGATCTCTTTGCTCAATTTTTCAAAATAATATGATGATTTCCATTGTTCAGAAAGTAATCATAATTTCCCATAGCTTCTTCTTTCATCTCAATTCGATTCCTCAACATATAAAGATTAGAATAAGTCCTGGTCCTCTTGAATTGAAGAAAAGTCCAAGAAAAAATCAAGCCTGGATTAAAATAATTTTAGCTTGACCTTTCTTAAACTATTTTCTTCATGTTGGACACATTACTGAGATGTCGTGTGTCCAACAGAGGTCAACGTCAACCTAAGAAGCCAGCTCAAGCATTAGAAAACATAAAGAGACAAACTCTCAATTCAATATTATAGGAAATTTGATTTATGATTTGTAACTTTATATAGTACTGTATATAATAATAATAATAATACGTAGTTTTCCAAATTATTTTTAAAATAAGAATATTGAAGAAAAAACAGTTATTGCAATATTCAAATGGAATTTGATACTTTATTAATATTGTAAAATAATCTCAACTACTTTCTTTTTAAATTATCCGCTTAAAATATATAATTCAAATTAATTAAACAGGAAGTTCTTAAAGTTTAATTATTGAGAAACTTGACTATAAATTAATTTTAGATATTAGATATGAAGTAATCTGTAAACACAATCACTTTTAATATTAAAAAAATTTATTTTCTAATAGAATAAAGATTACGAAACGAAAAGTTTGCTTATACTTGATAAATCTATTACAATATATGAATTCACTGATATAAAATATTTGAAAAAGTACTAATTAATAAATACTACGAACACATGAAACACGAAGATTCTCTATTCAATATATGTATTAGAAATAAGTAAAGAAAAATTATTTAAAATTGTTTATAATATTAAACTAATTGTTAATATATTTCACACATTAGAATGGACAATGTGACTTAAAATATACTGTACAAATTTACTGTGTGTAATTTACAGAAACATTTTTTTATCCACTATTATCTGATTATGCAAATTTTATGTATGTATAAATAGCATAAGTATTTATTTTTTTTATTTATTTATGAAAAGTGGGGGAACTCCTGGTATCACTCATAGGTACGACCAGGAGGGGAAAAGAAATGAAGGAAGAGGGAGAAATGCGAAGGATAGGGGATGAAAGTGGGGGCAGGAAGAGGGAGGAAGAGATGGGATCCCACAGCGCACGCATCACATTTATTTACAAATAAACCAGAGTAAAAAAAAAAAAGCAGACAAATAATGAGGACAACTGCCTGACAAGCGGTGGGGAGAACAAGCAAAGCAGTAAAACAGATAAAACAGTAGCATGTAGCGTAGCGATCAGTAGCATAACACTATGATACAGAAAGCCACAAAGGAAGTGAAAATCACAAGGNACATAAAGAGACAAACTCTCAATTCAATATTATAGGAAATTTGATTTATGATTTGTAACTTTATATAGTACTGTATATAATAATAATAATAATACGTAGTTTTCCAAATTATTTTTAAAATAAGAATATTGAAGAAAAAACAGTTATTGCAATATTCAAATGGAATTTGATACTTTATTAATATTGTAAAATAATCTCAACTACTTTCTTTTTAAATTATCCGCTTAAAATATATAATTCAAATTAATTAAACAGGAAGTTCTTAAAGTTTAATTATTGAGAAACTTGACTATAAATTAATTTTAGATATTAGATATGAAGTAATCTGTAAACACAATCACTTTTAATATTAAAAAAATTTATTTTCTAATAGAATAAAGATTACGAAACGAAAAGTTTGCTTATACTTGATAAATCTATTACAATATATGAATTCACTGATATAAAATATTTGAAAAAGTACTAATTAATAAATACTACGAACACATGAAACACGAAGATTCTCTATTCAATATATGTATTAGAAATAAGTAAAGAAAAATTATTTAAAATTGTTTATAATATTAAACTAATTGTTAATATATTTCACACATTAGAATGGACAATGTGACTTAAAATATACTGTACAAATTTACTGTGTGTAATTTACAGAAACATTTTTTTATCCACTATTATCTGATTATGCAAATTTTATGTATGTATAAATAGCATAAGTATTTATTTTTTTTATTTATTTATGAAAAGTGGGGGAACTCCTGGTATCACTCATAGGTACGACCAGGAGGGGAAAAGAAATAAAGGAAGAGGGAGAAATGCGAAGGATAGGGGATGAAAGTGGGGGCAGGAAGAGGGAGGAAGAGATGGGATCCCACAGCGTACGCATCACATTTATTTACAAATAAACCAGAGTAAAAAAAAAAAAAAAAAAAAAAACAAAAAAAAAAAAAAANAGTGGAGAGGTGCGGCAAATACTGAACAGAAAGGTGTTTATTCCTAACCAAAATTGCCGTTTTAAAATTGCTCTTAGATCCCCTGGGTGGGAAAGATGTCATGCCAGAGTAACTGGTGAGCTCGCCTTTGAAGAGGTAAGGTTCTTGGACCACAATGAGATCAGAATTCCAATCTTCGGCTGTTTTATTTAATAGGGAGGAAGGGGCCTTGGCCCGCTGTAAGTTAATCTGTAGAATTGATATATTCCTTTTGGTATGGCTGTTACGGTTAGAAGCATGAGTTGTAATTAGGTTATGAGCGGTAGTGGACAAACAAGAAGAATTAGGTGACCTCGTAGTATGTAGTGGCTGGTTACAATCCATAGTTGGTCTGTTTTATAGTCTGGGTCTTCATTCTTATTGTAATTGGACAGCGAGGGTTAAAGGCATTGTGGTCTGTGGTATATCTGTCTTGAACTGGAATATCTTTATTGGCCTCCTTGCAGTTGGTGCAACAAGGGGTGTGGTCAAGCCTCTTACATTCCCCAAACCTGTGTCCCTTGGCACAGTGGCTGCACCTCTGCTTGTTTGGGCAGTTGGCCGAAATATGATTATACCCGCAACACTGGAAGCATCGCACCAGTGGGATATAATCATTAACAAAAATATTGGCCCATTGGATAGCTATATGTTTAGTACGTATCAGGGAGTCACGTAGCCTAGGTGTTGTAGACAAGACGATGTGCCTGCAGTTTTCTTTAGTACTGTTTCTGTGCAGGATTGTGCTTACCCTTGTATTGTCAAGAAACTCCTCTTTGGTGGTAGTGTGTAGAAAGTCATTTTGTTCGTACATTATGGGGAGAATTTCAGCCTTGTCAACAGTGATGGGTACGTTGTTAAGAATTACTCTGGGTCTCCTTCCCTCAGATATCTTGCTTTTGATTTTACTTTGAATTAAATAGCATAAGTATGGTTTAATTTCGATAATTTATCTAAATATATATAAAACATAGCATTTTTTTTCTGAAAAAATTCCTTTGTAATTTAGATAAATGGCACTTTTATATAATATTTAATAACTTTTATATTTATTTACATATTTTTAAATCGATTCTTCAAAAATTCGAAGCCTGCAAGCATTTCTGTTGATTCGGTTAGCAGGAAAAACTTTTATTTCTTTTTGCTTTCTTTTTTATGTTAACATTTAAACCTGTTTAAAGAAGCCCGTTGTTATCGTTTGTTTCATTGTTTCCCAAACTATCCATATAAAAATGGTATAATGTGTTGTCAATTTCTACTTCTGCAGAAGAGATTACGCGGGATCAGTTGGCACAGCTTTAGTAACACGTTTTTTATTCTGTATAGTGACGGAAATAAAACATGGAGTTTTACGAGAAGAAAAAAAAAGCTGTAAAAATAGAGAACAATACCTTCCTCCATTGCTATTTTTAGAGCTTTATTTAACTACATACGATTATAATAATGATTCATTTCTATGTACTACATCATTTTCTAATCCACGATTTATGTGGGTAATAAAAGAATGTTTTATTTTCTTGTGTTACGTATTATCTACGAAACACAAGAATCTTTATTTTGAAATTAAATGACACGACATATAAACTATAAATGTTAGAATTTTATTAATGTCGTCGTCCGTAAATTGTTTCTTTTTTTTATAGTTTGAAGGTAAAATATTCGCATA